TACTTACCATATATTTAATATTTACTCAACATGTAGACTGGGATTTTCAACAGAGATGAATTAATTTTAAATGAAGTGTACTGTGATTACACTCTGTTTTAGTTGTGATACATACAAGTACCACTGATTCCTAAAACCAGAAAGTTTACCACATGGCTGACAATAGATTCAGTGGCTTAAATTTTCAATTGAGACTAATAAAAATACCTAGCTCTTATTGAGTTAGACTTAGTGAGATGAAGTGGAAACCAAATTGAGGTTTCCTGAGCTCCTGGCTAATGCCCAGTGTGTGTGTGTGTGTGTGTGTACTATGAGATTGCATTGTGTGTGTGTGTGTGTACTATGAGATTGCATTGACGTTAGTGGCTTCTCTGAATAAGCCCTGAGTGACAACTTAGTACCTCAGGATTTACATCAATGAATGTATCATCAAGCAGAGTTGTCTTTTTTCTTACAGTCACGTTCTTTGGAGATAATTTGTGCCACACTGACCACTTCTCTCAAGGCTTCTTTCACCTCTTTGTTCCTCAGGGTATAAATGAATGGGTTCAGTACAGGAATGATGATAGTGTTCAGCACATGAACAGTTTTGCTCACATCTAAAGACTCTGTCACGGAAGGCTTGATATGTAGGAAAATGGTTGAGTTGTACCAGATAATCACAACAGTGAGATGGGCAGAGCAAGTGGAAAAGGCTCTTTGTCGGCCTTGAGCTGACAGGATTCTCCATATAGTGGAGATGATGTAAACGTAGGACACCAGGGTTATCACACAGAAGCCCAGGATGACAAAGAATAAGATGATGAAGGCCACCATCTCAACCGAGTGGGTGTCTATGCAAGAAATGACTATCCATGGTGCTATGTCACAAAAGAAGTAACTGATGATGTTAGGCCCGCAGAAGGACAACCTGGCTATCAGAAATGCTGGGACAGAAATAGCCAGGAAACCACACACTCAAGAACCGAGGGCCAGCCGAGCAGACAAGGTGCTGTTCATGAGGCAGCTGTAGCGCAGTGGGTGGCATATGGCCAAATAGCGATCATGGGCCATGACAACCAAGAGAAAATATTCTGTGCATCCCAGGGAGAAAACAAAGTACCTCTGCAAGAGGCAGCTGGGGAAGGAGATACCTTGGCTTTCCCCCATGAGGATTGCCAGAGCTTTGGGGACACAGGCTGTGGTGTAGCAGATCTCCAGGGAAGAGTGGTTGCAGAGGAAGAAATACATGGGTGTATAGAAGTGCCAGTGTGTCCTCACTAAGATTATGATGGAGATATTTTGCATGACCATCAGGATGTACATGACGAGGAAGAGAACGAAGAGGGAGATCTGCAAATACCAACTGCTGGGGAATCCCAGGAGGATAAAACCATGCACACTGCTTTGGTTTCCTCTTTGTAAATTGGCTGCCAAATTCATCTGTCAAGACCCAGAGATCATAAGGGACAGAGCTAGACATTGTTCAACACATTGTTAGATGTTGTTGACCCTTGAATATTGGAGTACAGAACCCTAATAACTTACTTATGCTTTGATCAAAAATATTGAAAAGGTATATTAAATAAAATGTGCATGAAAATGAATTCCATTTTTGAACAGTCCTCTGGAACCCTGTTGCACCCAATATATATTTTTCTGGTGTGACCTCTAGTTGACTGGTATGATCATAGAATATCAGGGTTGGACCTCAGGAGGTCATCTTGTCCAACCCCCTGCTCAAAGCAGGACCAGTCCCTGATTTTTGCCCCAGATCCCTAAATGGCCCCCTCAAGGATTGAACTCACAACCCTGGGTTTAGCAGGCCAATGCTCAAACCACTGAGCTATCCCTCCCCCCTACCTTTAGCCCTCCCTCATGTCTCCCTTTAGTGGCTCAATTGCACTCACAGAAATCAGAGGCAGAAAGATTTTTAAAAAATTATTTGCTTGCCTTTTTTTGGGGGGGTCTTACCAATTTCTTAGAACATAAGAACGGACATACTGAATCAGAACAAAGGTCCATCTAGCCCCTATCCTGTCTTCTGACAGTGGATGTTGCCACATGTTTCTGAAGGAATGAACAGAACAGGTCAATTATCAAGTGATCCATCCCCTGTCCTCCACTCCCAGCATCTGGCAGTTAGAGGTTTAGGGAGACCCAGAACATGGGACTGGGTCCCTGGCCATTTTGGCTAATAGCCATTGATGGATCTATCTGCCATGAACTTATCTAATTTGTTTTTGAATGCAGTTATACTTTTGGCCTTCACAACATCCCCTGTCAACGAGTTCCAGGGGTTAACTGTGTGTTGTGTGAAGAAGTACTTCCTTAAGTATATTTTAAACCTGCTGCCTATTCATTTCATTTGGTGACCCCTAGTTCTTATGTTTATGTGAAGGAGTGAATAAAATGTCCTTATTCATTTTCTCCTCACCATTCATGATTTTATAGACTCTATCATATCCCCCTTTAGTCATCTTTTTTCTAAAATGAATCATCCCACACTTTTTAATCTCTTTTCATTGGAAAGCTGTTCCATACCCTTAATCGTTTTTTGTTGCTGTGCTCTGTATTTTTTCCAATTCTAATTTTTTTTTTGAGATTTGGCAATAAGAACTGCATACAATATTCAAGGTGTGGGTGTACCATAGATGTATATAGTGGCATTATGATATTTTCTGTCTCATTATCTCTCCCTTTCCTAATGGTTCCTAACATTTGGTTTGCTTTTTTGACTACCACTGCACATTAAGCAGATGTTTTCAGAGAACTATCCACAATGATTCCAAGATCTCTTTCTTGAGTGGTAACAGCTAGTTTGGATCCCATCTGTGTAAATCGATGCAACTGCATTGAAATCATTGGGCCTGATCTGCCACTATTGTAAATCAGTGCAGCTACATTTAAGTCAGTGGAGCCATGAAAGATTACATCAAGTGAAGAGCTGGCTCAGTATAACTGATTTAACACCCTCAAGGAAGATTCATACTAAAAAGTACTTCAGTGACAAAGTCTAGGTGCATCCGTGATACATATAGCTTATGTGACAAAGCTCTGTCCTTGTCTCCGTGGGTCCCGCATTTCCTGGCAGATTTTGCTCGCTTCAGAGGCTCACTGTGACCCTCTATGTAGCCCTTCTCTCTCTAGAGGCAAGGGTCACAGCCTACTGAGCCATTTTCATCATAAGCCAGCAAGAGAGGTGAGGACTTGCACAGTCCCTCCCTTGCACAGTCTCTGTTGTCTCCCAGTCTCACTGATTAATTCACAGGGGGAAGGCCAGCATGCCCTCTACTCCAGGCTCCAGCCCAGGGACCCTAATAGTATCAGCTGTGGTAGCTGACCTTTTGGAAACAGGATACGTACAATTCCCCACAGCAGCCCCCCACTTCCTCAATATCTCCTTCACCCTTACCTCAGGGCCTCCTTCCTTCTGCCTGTTTTGGTTTGTACTGCTCAGTTTGTCCAACAGCACAGCTTCCTCCTACAGCTCCTGACACATGCACCCACCTGACTAACTGGAAGGCTTTTAACTAGTTTCAGCCAGCCCCTGATTGGCTTCAGGTGTCCCAATCAACCTTGCTGTCTTCCCTGCCTTCTGGTAAGCTCTTAATTGGCCCCAGGTGTCTTAATTGATCTAGAGCAGCTGCCACTTGCTTATCCTGGTAACAGGGATTTGTTTAGCCTGTGGCTAATATATCTGTCTCCCACTACTTTGCTGTAGCCATCTGGCCTTGCACCATCACACTTAGTAGTAGCAGTAATGCGACTAAAAATCTGACAAAACACACAACCACTGCATTGGATGGGGTATGTTAAAGTTAAACAAAGTAATAAATAGTACAGAGAAGTTAAATAAGTCACCACTGACTACACTTTCTCATAATACAATAAAAAAAAGAACATTCAATGAAATTGCAAAACTCTATATAAAACTGATCAAATGAAATATTAAAAATATTATTACACAACGCATAACTACCATTTAGAATTCATTGCCATGATGATTGTCAAGGCCCAGAGCTCAGCAAGATTAGAAAAGAAAGTTGATATAAATAATGAGAACATCCATAGATAGAAACTTTCATTTGATCTTCTCTTCACCGATTATGCGTTAGTTATTATGGAAGAAGACTGTGAGAGGGGAAGTGACTTGCCCAGGCAGAAAGTAAAAAAGATTTATAGAGAAGTATGAATGAGGATGAAAGAAAGAAAATTATATATGGGGATGGATCAACAGATAAAAAGACAGACTGAAAGAAACAATGATAGAGAAATATGTACAGGGACAGAGAGAAACAACTAATGTCAGAGAGATATGTGCGGGGGTGGATAGCTAGTGAGGTATGTACAGGGACTGATGGATAGATGGATGGATAGATAGATAAACGTAAAGAAAGGAAGAATAATATAGAAGTATGTACAGGGATAGATAAACAAAAAATTACAGAGATATATGTACAGGAGAAAGAAAGAGTGTGATCGAGTGGTATGTACCAGAAAAGAGAGAGAGAATTATAGATAGATAGATTAGATTAGATATTGGCTAAATTTCTCCTTCCATATCTGAATGAATTTCAAGGGGATTAGACATTCTGAACTATTAACCTAGGGTCACAAAGACATTCCTTTCTGAGAGCAAGTACAAAATTTCTGAAACCCATTTCCTTGCCATTTACCTCTGGAAGAACAGTGGCTTTGATAATGACTTCTAGACATGGCTTTGTTCTGTATTACTTGTTGGCCATTGGGATTGAATCCCCAGAGTAGTCTATTCTTCTGGTTGACTGCAAGAATAAGCAATTAGACTTTAGTTCCTCTCAGCTTTGAATTGTGAAAGTAACTCAGAAGAACCTGTCTGCCTTTTTATCTTGATTCTCATAATCAAAGAGATATTGGGGCCCAGAATATTTTTTCAGCAAGTGTTTTTTCCCCACCGCAGTATCTTCACCACAATTTCAGCTGTAGCCAACTACTGCCATCAACTAGGGATCTGCACCCCGTTTTCAGATTTACCAGTAATGGCGTTCATTAATACTGATATAATACCCTCAATAAATCCTGAGAAATATACATGCAAATCAGGAGTAACTCCCGCGGAAGTGAATTATGCTGATTCTCCTCTCACTCTACTGCAAATCAAAAGTAATTTCAAGGACATCAACGGGCATGAGTCTTCTCTCAATCATCCTGGTAAAAGCCAAGATTGGGTGTGTAGGCTAGGTTCTTCTCTCACATGTATCAGTGGTAAAACAGGAATGAGTCCATTGAAGTCAGTGGGCCTGATTCTCCTTTGACTCATCAGGAAATAACTGCTAACGACAATGAAGACACACACATCTGTCTTAAGAATGCAAAATAACACACTGGTTAGTGCTTCTGGCTGGGATTTCAAATGAGCTAAAGGAGATAGGTACCTGTGATAGGTTGTGGGTACCCCGTCCAATGCCTGGGTGTGTGCAACCCATGCATAAGTCCACCAGACTGCCCTTGCTCTCTGGACTGTAATGCCTAATGGTCAGAGACAATGGATTTGTCCTGGCTCTCAAGGCTGTAAGGCCTAGTGGCCAGAGTCAATAAAGTGGCCCTCACACTCAGGGCTGTAAGGCCTGTTGGCCAGAATCAATATGGCTGCCCTCTCTCTCAGGGCTGAGTGGCCCAGTGGACAGTCGGGCAAGTAGGCTGCCACCTAGAGTGGGTGACAGCTGGGGAAGGGGGACCCAGGCCCTCCCTGCTCCACTGGGTCCCAGCCCGGGGCCCTATCAGTGGCGAGGGACTTTGCTGAGAGACTGAGTAAACGGGGATCCAGACCGAAACACACTGACTGTTCCCGGGTGTGCAGTTGCCACCTCCCACTGGACTACTTCCTACTTTGTTCCTTGTAGTCAAGCACTGGGCGTCTCTGGAATTTCCAAGTTACTTGGTGCGGATGATTCCCGGTGATCCTGGGTTCTTGAAGACCTCTGGGTTTCCTCCTGGTCTTCAACGTCCCTGATTCCAGCTGTTGGAGCCTCTGGCACTTCCCTCGCTGAAGCCTGCAGAGAGCATCCTTCCTACTTTACTGTAAACCAGAGTGAGCTGGGCTGCTCCCATTTATACTAGTGCTGCACCTGGGGCATGCCCAATAGGGATGTGGGGGCATGGCTTCTTCAGCCCATAATGAGGAGTTAACCCGTTCACATTAAGTGCTGGGTGAGTGCACCCCGTCAGAGTGCCCAAACGCCATTTAAAGCCTCAGGAAGCTGGGCATCTAAGTCCCTTAGGTCCTATTGAAAATCTCAACCTCTACTGTTGTCTTCTGTTAGGCAGAATAATAACTGCTCAACAAAATGGCATAGGCCCTTGCTGTTAGTAATGGCATCTCAGTTCATAGGATGTGAATATTCTGAATTCCATGTTTCACTAGAGAGAGAGGTTTGGTTAAGTAATATGATAAAGAATAGGAGGTGAGATGGTATCTCCCAAAGCCTCTACTCTTTAGTCAATGTCAGATCACTAAAAGTAAGAATCACACCTGTGTATAAGGCCAGCTCAATGTCTATTCAATAAGTATGTACCCTCTTGAGAAACTAATTGGGAATTTAGTGACACAGAAGTGTTGTGGGGGTCCTCGTCACATGGCTGAATTTCACACTCATGTCAATAATTTAGCTAGCATTGGTTGAAATATGCCACCAATTTTTAAGGGGAATTTACTTTTCTTCCAAAACGTCCTGTGAATATTTTTTTAAATTTCTGACAAAAACACAAAACTGAAAACTGATTTTTAAAAACATTATGTGTTTGAAACAAGGTTTATTATTAAGTAGTAGTAGTAGTTTTTTGAAAGCCCCCAGACTGTAAACATGTGGGTTTGGTGAACATTTCTGGTTTTTGAAAACTATTTTTTTCATTGCAAACTACATTTTTATAGCAAAATTAAAAACTGTACATATATATGTCACAGATCTACAGGTCCAGTGCTCTGGAACAGTCCCTGAGATGACCCCTTCTGTGTGCCAGCCCACTTAGGATCTCACTCTTTCACGAAGGTAAGCTGCTTGGCTTCACCACTTCCTTACACCAAACCTCGGAGCCTTCAGCATTGCTACTTCACTCTGTGAGTTCCCATCAGTCCACTTGAGTTGGACACCTGAGAGTGACTTGTACACCCAGACAGAGCAATGAACCCCCCAACTTCAGCATCTGCAGTGACTCTCAGCCAGTGTTCTGAAAGCAGTAGGGTTTATTAGATGTCTGCAACACAATTTAAAAAGTTCTTGGTTAGCATAGAGAAAAAAAAAAGTAACAGCATGATCCATTGTGGTTACCCAGAGCCCCAGCGAAGGAATGTGCACCCTGGGCTCCTGCTCTGTCCCTCTGTGTCCTCTTTGTTCAAGTTCCCGGGCCCAGTCCCACCTGGCCCCTCTTCAGTCCTTTGTTGTCCAGCTGGTCAAATATGGCTGGCTTCCTGTGGAGGGTGGGTCATAGAATAATAGAATCATAGAAGATGAGGGTTGGAAGTGACCTCAAGAGGTCTGAGGAGGTCATCTAGTCTAACCCCTTGCTCAAAGCAGGAACAACCGCAACTAAATCATCCCAGCCATGGCTTTGTCCAGCTGGGCCTTAAAAACTTCTCAGAATGGAGGTTGCACCACCTCCCTACATGCTTCACCACCCTCCTAGTGAAAAAGTTTTTCCTAATATCGAGCCTAGACCTCCTCCACTACAACTTGAGACCTCCCCCATTCCTTCTTATTCTGTCATCTGCCACCACAGAGAACAGACTAGCTCCATCCTCTTTGGTACCCTCCTCCAGGAAATTGAAGGCTGCTGTCAAATCCCCACCTCCCCCAACTCTTCTCTTCTGCAGACTAAATAAGCCCAGTTCCTTCAGCCTTTCCTCATAAGTCATGTGCCCCAGCCCTGTAATCATTTTCGTTACCCTCCGCTGGACTCTCTCCAATTTGTCTACATCCTTTCTGTAGTAGGGGGGGCCAAAACTGGATGCAGTACTCCAGATGTGGCCTCACCAGTGTCGAATAGAGGGGAATAATCACTTCCCTCGATCTGCTGGCAATGTTCCTGCTAATGCAGCCCAATATGCTGTTCGTCTTCTTGGCAACAAGGGCACACCATTGAGTCATATCCAGCTTCTCATCTACTGGAATCCCCAGGTCCTTTTCTGCAGAATTGTCACTTAGCCAAACGGTCCCTAGCCTGTAGCAGTGCATGGGATTCTTCCATCCTAAGTGCAGGACTGTGCACTTGTCCTTGTTGAACCTCATCAGATTTCTTTTAGCCCAACCTTCCAATTTGTCTAGGTCACTCTGGACCCTATCCCTACCCTCCAGTATATCTACCTCTCCCCCCAGCTTAGTGTCATCCGCAAACTTGCTGAGAGTGCAATCCATCCCATCATCCAGATCATTAATGAAGATGCTGAACAAAACTGGCCCCACGACAGCCCCGAGGGGCACTCCGTTTGATACCGGCTGCGAACTAGACATCGAGCTGTTGATCACTATCCATTGAGTCTGATGATCTAGCCAGCTTTCTATCCACCTTATAGTCTGTTCATCCAATCTGTACTTTTTTAACTTGCTAGCAAGAATACTGTGGGAGACCTTATCAAAAGCTTTCACAGTTGTCCAAATTGCAAAGGTATCACACAGAGAAACAAAAGCCTTTCCCCGCACCCTCCAGATTTGAAAGTATCTTGATCCCTCATTGGTCATTTTGGGTCAGGTGCCACCCAGGTTACCTGAGTTTCTTAACCCTTTACAGGTAAAAGGACTTTGCCTCTGGCCAGGAGGGATTTTATAGCACTGTATACAGAAAGGTGGTTACCCTTCCCTTTATATTTATGACACCCCCCCCCAAATCACAGATAGTGTCAGACAGCTGGTTCCACACTGGCTGTGATTTCTTCCTAGAGCTCTAGGAGAAAACAGAGTTAATAAGACACATACACATTTAGCTATACTACTGACTATATAAAAACTAACAATATTTCCCACATTTCAAGGATGATTTTAACCAGTTGATACTGGGAAACCTTCACGAAAGAGTTAATCAGCCACTTTGTTAGAAGCTCCTGAAATGTGTTGTATTTCAAAATCAAAATCTTGGAGAGCTAAACTCCACTGAAGAAGTTTTTTGTTATTGTCCTTGACAGTGTGAAGCCACTTCAGCCAGCATGGTCGGTCTGTAGTTGGAAACGCTGTCCCCAAACCTATGGGCATAGCTTTTCCAGCATGTGCACAATGGCGTAGAATTCCTTTCCACTGATTGTCCAGAGGCTTTCCCTCTCAGACAGTTTTTTGCTGAGAAACATGACAGAATGGAATTCTTGATCTGGTCCTTCCTGCATTAAAACTGCTCCCACACCAACTTGGAAGCATCTGTGGTTACTAGGAATGGATTGTCAAAGTCTGGGGCTCTTAGCACAGGGTCAGACATGAGCGTCACTTTAAGCTGGTTAAAGGCCTTCTGACAGTCTTCAGTCCACTGAACGGCATTTGGCTGTTTCTTTTTGATTAGGTCTGTCAGTGGGGTGGCGATTTGGCTGTAGTGCAGTACAAATCGCCTGTAATATCCGGCCAAGCCTAGGAAGGATTGGACTTGTTTCTTTGACTTTGGGACAGGCCACTTTTGGATAGCATCCACTTTGGCCTGTAGAGAGTTGATAATTCCTTGACCCTCCTGGTGTCCAAGGTAAGTCACTCTGTTTAGGCCTATCTGACACTTCTTAGCCTTAAGAGTTAGTCCTGCCTCACAAGACTGGACATAGGTAGAAACATCCTTGTCCATTCCCTCCCAGTGGAACGACTTTCCCAAATGGTCTTTAGTTCTGTTCACCCCAGCATAGCCACTAGGATGATCGTGGGCTAAGCTTAAGAGCTTTACCCGATACTTCGTTGGAACTACCAACTGTCTCTGAGGATGCCAGTCTTCCTGGTGTCCACTAGAAAGAGTTTCCTTGTATAAAAGTCCTCTTTCTACAACAAACCTGGATTGATTAGAAGAGCTGAGAGGCGGTGGGTTGCTCCGTGCCGCCGTCCAAGCTCTCTGGAGGCTTTCATCTGCTTCCTGTTTGGACTGGAACTGTTCCCTTGATTCTGGAGACATTAGTTCCTCATTGGATTGTGGACCTGGGCTTGGTCCCTCTGGAAGTGATGCAGGTGATGGGGCTGTTTCCGTGGACTGTGAAC